GCATTTTTATTGAGAAAAAAAAAATTCCAATTAATTTAAATTCAGTTTGGAATACAGCAAAGTATTTTGCTTATTAGAAACAAATTTAATCTAGTAGCTTGAAATTAAAACTAAAATAAAAGCTTCAAGAAAGTTTTTTTATTTTTAAAAATTCATTTTAATCCTTGGGTGTCCTTTTTCTTTGGAGATACCTAAATATAACTAAATCTTTATGATTCATTCTATATTATAGCTGAAGAGAGAGTGCTGAAAAATTAAAGAGCAAAACAGAATGAATAAATAAAAAAAAATTTTTTTTTTTTTTTGATCAGATTTGGGAAGAGGGCTGGGTTAAAAACTTTTTAGTGTGGGCATGTGTGATATTGGGTTGGATAAAATATTTGTAGTATTTTTAAGTGGATTTCAAAGACAAAACTTTGACATCAGGTTGAATAAATCTATGTAGCAATATATGCCATTTTGTGTGAGGAAGCCTCATGATTCCTTGCTTCCAGTACTGGACTTATTTCTGGGTGACGAATTAGTTTAAGTGGTTTTTATGGGTTTCCAGAGAATTGAAGTTTTCCCAGTAAGAAAATTTTGTAGGGAGCAAAATCCGTGATAATCTGAAGGTGAGTATGATGGATGTGGTGAGAATCCCAACTAAGCTAGACCAAATTCAAATTTATGATTTTACATTGTAATACACAATGTCATTTAAATGCCACAAGATACACATCATCACCATTCAAAATAGACCAACTTTTGAAATGGTAGCACATTTCATTTTTCATTAAGATCTTTCTTACTCAACATTGTTGTAAATCCATTTTTCATTGCCCAAGATCATTTTTTTTTTTTTTTTTTTTTAAATGAGTTGTATTTGTTGCATTTGAGCAGATGCAAATGTGGTGCATTAATTTTTCTCTGTTAATTCATGAGATATCCAAACATCATAGCAGTTCATATATTTAAGGATTTGCAAATGCCTTACAATGCTCGTGAAATATGTGGGAGTATCATAGCAATGACCTGTATTGTGTGATTAATTAACATTTTGATGTGGTCATCAACAACAGCAAGCATGCCAGAACATTCTTAGTCTCCCATATAAAAATTTCTTGTGAACCACTTACAAACTGTACTATCAAATATGGTACCATCTCTATAAATGGCACATATCTTTTTGGCAGTTTTTCTGTGTGAGAATTGGTCAGAGAGAGAGAGAGAAAAAACAAACTATATACAAGTCGAATGGGAAAAACAGTGGTACACAATTCAATAAGCAAATCAATCCCACAAATATCATTCCACAATCTCGGGTAAGCAACTCCTCTCACCAAAAACAAGTCCCTGCTTTGAATGAGCATACTGTGTTTTTATGCACCTGACCAGCCATCTCTCAGCCAATGAGTGCCCAGAAACAGCCAATAAAAACAGTTACAAGCAACACGACTTCCATCCACACAAAGTGTTGCTTGATTCACCTTTAGTCCAAAGCTCACCAATTTGCCGTCTCCACACTCCATTGCAAAAAAAAAAAAAAAAAAAAAAAAAAAAAGGCTACTCTGGCCATTTTGGGTCACTGAAGTAAGTCTCTGCTATACTTTCGTTTTTAATGTAAAAAAATATTTAAAATTCATTCACAATCAACACAAAGGTATTGAAAATACATTGATCATGTGTGCAATTAAATCCCATGTTCAAACTTCACCTATTGATAAAAACCTTAAAAACTTATGTTTAAAAAAAAAGAAAAAGAAAAAAAGTGGTATTCTGAAATATCAAATAAAATTAATATATCTTACAATTTATACACTTTTTGATTTTATGTTTATCATTATAAATTCATTTTTAACTTTTTTATTATTGAACATGAAATTTATCTCAAAATCCAAGTCTTATTTCATAATGCTTTCTGTGCTTACATATGTAAAATATTTTCTTACATACTTTGTCTATAATGAAAAATGAAGAACAAATCTTAAATTTAATAATGTTCATATTTGGATTTTAATCTTCAGCCTTATAAAACTTTTGCAACTTTACAAAAAAATTTTTTAAAAAAGTTTGGCAATATTTAACTTTCGAACCTAATAAAAAAAAAAAAAAAAATAGCATGTCAGAAGGATGGTTATTCCCTTGACATCACTATTACTATATAAATATTTGACTCCCTTGGCAATGTTTATTGTTTTCAAAAGCAATGATTAGAATTTTAATAAAACCCAAATATATGAAATTGGCTTATATATTTTCTTTATTCTTGAGAATCAACAAAAAATATATTAAACACTATTTATTTATTAGACTGCAAATTGTTGGCAGATTTCTATGCACTTTTCTTAAAATTAGGAAGAATTTAAAAATTTTTTAAAATGAGTAAGAAATGGGATAACCTATAACTGCTGAAGTTTCAGGCCTTGGATTTCTATTAAATCGTCATCCTAGATCACAATTATAGTGTGTTCCAATAACTTGGACCGATTTTAAATGTGAATTAAGTTTAAAATCGGTCCAAGTTATTGGAACACCCTATATAAACAAAGTAATTGGAAAATTAAAACAAATTAAAATAATTTGATAAGAAAATATATTATTTCCAGAAAATGTTTATTCATATTTTCTTGTTCATTGATATTTTTATAAAATGGTAAATAATTATTAGTTTACTTATTTTGATAATTTGTAATTTTTGAATAAAAAGATTTTTCCAATTTACTTCTTTATAAAAAGTAAATAAATATTGAATTGTACTTGATTCACATATCTTTATAATCTTGTAAATAAAACTTGCTAAAGGAGTCAAAAAGTGTATAAAGTAGTAGTGGTGTCAAAAGAATAACCATCTTTTGACACACCACTGTTTTGCTGGCATGAAGGTTAAACTTTGCCAAAAGTTTCTTGTTAAAAAGTTTGTTTTTTTAAGGTAATTTATCATGAGAGGGGGAAAAGAATGTTTTTATGCATCGTACCATCCTCAGTTTACAAAAATTTTTTTTTTAAATATGGTATAGCTATAAATCAGATTAAATTTATCAAAACATATATGGATGGTTGAATTCATTCTTAATCTATTATAAAATTTGCAATGCTATTAAAATAAAAAAATCCTTAAAATGTTTTCTTGTAAATTTGCAACGCATGTTTTTTTTTTTTTTTTGAAAGAAATATATACCTTATTTTTTTTATATCTTAAAAAAAAAAAAAAAAAAAAAAAAAAATTGTGAATCTGAAATTTTATTTCTGATATGGAAAAAAAAAAAAAAAAAAAGGATTCAAAAAATAAACTATGTTAATTTTTAAAAAGTAATTCTAATTTTCTAATTGAAACAATTTTTAAAATTTACTTTTTTTAGCATTAAAAAAATTAAAATTATAATTTTCTTTTATCTAAAAACAAAAAACAAAAAAAATCTATTTTTCATAAAAGAGCGAGGATCATTGTCAATTTCTAACTAGCTTGAGATTTTTACCCGTTTTAACAAGTCATGCTATTCACATTATATTGTGCAAACTCAGCTGTTTTCCTTCTTTTTTTTTTCTTTTTTTTTTATAAAATACATTTTAATACAGTTTTTGAATATCATTGCTTTTAGCATTCGAGTTTCTTTTACCCATCTTTATTAAACATTCATTTTATACATGTAAGCAAACTACTAAACATGAAAGTAACAGCAAAATATGGTCAGAGTAACTTCATATTTTTAGGGGGGAAAAAAATAATTAAAAAAAAAAAAAAAAAAAAATAAAACAAACTTTGCTTACACCTTTAGAAGAGGAAGAGATGATGAGGATGATGGTCATCATCATCAATTTACACTAATCTATAATATATCAAAATCTGAAAAGGTCAATATCACTGATTCCAATCAAATAGAATTGTCAATGATGATATTATTTGGTAATAAAATTTAAATACAGAAATTTATTAATATGAAATTAATTCTCCAAATTAATAACCATCCTGTCTTGTTACAAACACTAAATGGATGTTAAGTTACTAATTTAAAGAAATTAGAACACCTACAAATATATATTTTCATCAAATACATCTGTTGGATGCTTTGGCACACATCATCAGTGATGTTTCTAGCAGAGGTTCATTAGGGGTTTCAGGTCTTTCAACATCATACCCCCTCTCCGCGGTGACCTAGCTGATAATGATTGGGTATCGACTGGTGTGTCATCAATCAACTACAATTTTCTCCATTTTCTTTTTTCTTTAAAAAAAATCACACATTTCAACTCCTCTTGGCAATTTATAACCCAATCACATAACTTCTGGTTCAACAGCAATCTACGCTCTTCCACAAGAAAGGAAGCAAACACTAATGGTTTCAATCTGGTAAGGAATATGGTGACGCTTATGTGTGTGTGTGTTTGTGTATTTAGGCAGCAATCCTTCTTTCATGCACATCTCATTGAATATGACAGACAAGATGCTTTGATTAGTTTTTTTATACAATTTCTCATGCAATCTAATAATTTTTTTTTTTTCAGATGATAAATTATATAAAAACTGAATGTTCTTTTTTCCAAGCACTTTCAGCTATATATTTAGCCATTTCCAAGGATGAAATATTTTATCTGTTAAATAAGAAATAGTTTGTTACATGTATGTATTTATATAATGTTTTCATTTTTAAAAACACTGTCAAGATATTGTGTCCATGTTCATAGTTGATATTGAGTGTTGGCTTTTGTTTTTATTAATAAGGCTTCCATAATTTTTAGCCTTTTTTTTTGCATGTAGATGATGCTATTATATTTGTGTTGTCAACAAGTATGTTACAAATAGGGTCTAGTAGATCTTCATGAATATTTAAATGAGATCTAATTTAGCTATGGTCAGAAAGGCGTAAAGTGAGTCTTTGTGTCAAACATGTAGTATGGCCTATATAATTATTTACGAATTTTGATTTATCAAGAATATATATATATATATATATATATATATATATATATATAAAAAATAAATAGAAATTTGTTAAATATAATGACTCAAATTTATTACTTACCTCACTTTCAACAAAATGCTTTTCACCTTTCAAGCACAACTGACTTCTCCTCAGGGTCCTCTCATCTCCATCATCAAAAACTGAAAATAAATAGTTACAAATATAAATCTTTTTAACATTAAAATAATTATATATATAAAAAGAGATTATTATAAATATGCCATAGTAATATTCATAAATGAAGCGGCATGGTGAAGTAATGAATAGCGGCTCAGATTGAGGAATTGGAGAGCTGAGTTCAAATTCCAGTCAGATTCATTACATTCACTTACATGCAGATACCACTAGGAAAGGTATGAATCACCCAGCTATGAGTAAATAGCAGGATAGACCGGGTTCTATAGCCTTGGGCATGGCAATTGGGCTAGGAGAAGTACAACTCCGAATTCGAAACCTGATCCTCTAGGTTGGAGGTTGTGCTATAGGCTAACAACCTACTCACTTAAAAAAAACTGGCTTGTTATAGAAACTGCAACAATATCTTGCAGCCCTATGTTCCTCAAGAATTTAAAAGGTCATAATATTCATAATTGATTTTATATTATATATATATATATATATATATATATATATATATATATATATATATATATATACACACACACACACAGAGTTTAGGGCCACCCTGCATTTCTTTTGGGTATTCTCTTCAAACTCCTTATCCAAGTCATTCCTTACTAATTCAATGGGAGAGAGGTCAGGTAATTGAGGTAGCTATCTCATAATTTCCCAAATTTTTTATTTTTTTGACTAGAGGTAATTTTGACATAATCCAGATGAATGTTTTGGCCAAGATGAATTATTTTTCTCATTATGTGTAAACCAGATGATAAAGCATGTCTTTGCTAAGTCAAATGATATTGTTATTTTTCCATGATTCACTTGACTCAAATCAAATCTCCAACTCTCTCTCTCAAAACACCATAACAGATTCACCACTATGGAATCATACATTCATCATTCAGTCTTTCTCTTGTCTTTCTTCTAACATTCACTCCCCCTTATTACCAAAATGTTTAATTTTGAACTAATCTATCCACAATACATTTTGCCACCTTTTTCCAGGTTCAGTTCTTATGCGTTTTTGTGCATGTCTTTTCTGATTTTCTCATTCCATAAAAGTGGTTTCTTGATGACTGTACATCCCCTGAGCCCCACTGATCTAAGTAGATTTTTCATAGTTGACAATGACACTGATTATGATTGAGAGGAATTCAGTTATCAACTCTAAAACAGTTTTCCTTCTATTTCTTTCAGTAATCAAGTGCTTATCTTCAGCAGCAGTTGTCATTTTTGCTTTGATTTTGCCATTTTATGTAAGTTACATCAAAACCGAAAATTAAAAAATAATGAAAATACTGTTGCAATGGCACAAATTTTTTCTTCAATCAGTGACATCTGTAAATGTTTTGTTTACGACATTAGTTAGTGTCAAGTTCACATTTAACTTAGTTGAACACTTTTGATAATCTCAAAATGTTTACTAAGGGGTTAATGGTGAAAACAAAATGTTCCTCATACAAAATATTCATAATTTAGAAAAAAATGTATTGTGGACAGATGGATTAAAATTTGAATATAAAAAGTAATTAGTAAAAGGAAGCTGAAAAATAAAAGCAAATATATTGTAGTTACTGGCATTTTGTTTCACTTTAAAAAAATATACAAATACCTCATCTTAATGTGTTTATTTTTTTTAAAAAAACGCAAAAAAAAAAAAGAATTGACCTAAACTTTTTTAGAGAGAGAAAGATATATATATATATATATATATATATATATATATTCTTTCTCTCTCTATAAAAAGTTTAGGTCCACCCTGCATATATATATATATATATATATATACACACACACAAGAAATTAATGCAAAACAAGGACTATACAGGGTGTGACAATCATTTGAGAATATCTTCATAGGCCATAAATGGAACAGAACCGACAACGTTCCACAACCTTGAGCAGAATTCTGAAATTTTTAATTCTCTTTCAGACATACAGATATCATTAATATGATGCAGAAAATGAAGAGGCATTATACCATGTTCATAGTACAAGCAACCAAATACAGCAAATCATAAACTGAGCATCTTTAAAGTATCTTGGTGAACAAGATAAACAGATGGATCTATACAAAACCTCTGGTTGTACCCAGTGATGCATACTGTTTTGTAATGGTCCTGGGCCATGAGCAACTAAGCCCATGCTACACCTATTTTTTTCCACAGAGCCTCAGGACCAATACAACCACCTACATTGAGATCCTGAATACAATAGCCAAGCACTTACTGTAGCATTTCTCAACCAGTTTACTCGGGCACACTAATGTGCCTTGAAAGGTGGCCAGGTACACCTTAAGTTAACAGAAGAGTAATTCATGAATTATTTTTATATTTAAAAATAAAATCTTTGTTTTTAAAAACCTACAGACACCAAGCACATGGCTTTCATGTCTAAGTCAAGTCTTTGTCATTTGATATTTTAAACTGGAATCTAACTTCTTAATCTTTTCCATTTTGTTTTCTTTGAAGGAAGGATTTAAATTGGTCATTATTAGCCTCTGTAAAAACAAAACAAATTTTTCCTAAATCTCTTTAAATAAAAACTGTACTGTTAACCTTCTTTCATGACTAATTTTTTCTTATGTAAAGGGTGCCTCAATGTTTTAGTTGAGAAAGACTGCTTTAGATGGTGGCTATATATGACTGTATGCTGCTACATAATCCCAGAGTAGCTGGTCAAGAATTTTCATAAAGTTGCCAACATGTAGCTTCCTAACTCTCTCCTCATTCACTGGAGTAGGGTTGTATCAAGGGTATCATTCAATGTGGAAGCAGCCTCCACAATAGCAAGGTCAACATCATGGATGTGTTATAGCTAACTTGAATGATAACCACTTGATCTGGGCATGAACTCATATCTGAGATAACATTAAAACTACCTTCAACAATGAAAGTAGTTTTATTGAATAGCCTTTTCATAAGTTGAACATCTGTGTTTTCTTTATAATTTATTCTTAATAACCTGACACACATTGTGCACACATATGTAATAGAGATGAATGAGGACATATTTTTAATATCTTCAACTAAAGTTTAAAAGTGGGATAACAGATATTTTCAGAATTATTTAAAATATTTCTTCTACATTAAAAGATATCAGAAAATTAAGATTGTTACAAAAATACATGTCTATTTAGTTAGCTTAAATCTTAAGGCTCACATCAAGAATAAGTTAAGAGAGGAACATTCACCTATCATTAATTATATTTAAGAAAATATTTCATTTAAAGATAGGCATTTTACAGACAAATATTATTTAACAAATACTTTATGTCAATACACTTACCGACAGTATACATACTGCAGTCATTCACTTTATTGATAACACCTTCTGCAACCTGGTTGGTTTCAGATACATTAACGACAACAGAAGCACCAACCTGTAAAAAAAAAAAAAAAAGGTCAGGCATTTTTCAATTTCTTTTTCAACATTTGTTAGAATTGTATTCAATTTTTTTTTATCTGCAAATAGATTCTTCAGTTCATACACAGCTTTTGAAAGGAAAATAAAGTTCCATAAGATAGTTTGTAGCCTTCAGAGGTTGGGGGTGGGGCACTATTTTTTGTTCTGCATGTGGAATGTTTTGTGGGTCTCAAGCTGGCCTTAAAAGTCAAAAGGTATAAATACAAGTAGGGCATCAGACGCAGGACTGGCTATTAAACCCTCAAATAATCGAAATGACAAGAAACCACCAGGTATAGGTGTGTGTGTGTGTGTGTGTGTATATATATATATATATATATATATATATAGTTGCAAAGACGCATATCTGTTTACAGACATTGATTTTTAAAAATGGCTTTTAAATGTATCAATTATCTTTAGGGTAAAATTTACAAAACTTTATATTTGCATATCAACATAGGAGTAATAGTGGTAATAATATATGAAGCAGTTAAATTTTCTTTCCTTTACCTGCAACAGCAATTATAGTGAAGAGACTAATATTGTTTCATGAGTTTGCAAAAATATATCAAAAACTTCAAAAGCAATGTGAACCTAATTTTTAAGGAGATTTGGTCATTAAACATTTACATAGCTTTCTTAAAGGTATTTAATAACTACTTATTTTATAGACTGAATTTTATTATTTGACGACTAACTACTTGAACTTTCTTTTATCTATCAAATAGTTTATATATACCAATAAGCAAACTTAATAAAAAAAATCAAAAAACAATGTTCAAAAGTGAAGTATTATTCACTCTCAAGTGATTGTAATATTTTTATAAATGGACTTTAAATCAATTTTATTCAATAGTTTATTTTAATAAATTAAACTTAATTGCTTTTTAAAATGTTTATTCAACTATACATTTTATATATATATATATATATATATATATATATATATATATATATATATATACACACACACACACACACACACGGGCTAAACAGAGACTTTGGTGTTGGCCACAAGCTCCTAGTAGTTGCTTGAAACCCTATAATGTGTGCGAAAGCAAAAGGTGGGGGCACTGAAACCAAGAATCCCTTTGAAGAGAAAAAGGATCTGATGTTTGTTCCAATTTTCAGATTGTGGGTTAGAACAAGAATTTTCCAGCACCTCCTCAAAACATATGAACTTATGATAAAGTTTTTTTTTTTTTTTAAAAAAAAAAAATAAGTACCAATTTTTTAAAATTAAGTAAATTCTTAGCGTAGATTTCAGTAAACTAAAGATACAATTTTTCTCCTATAACTTTCACATTTCCACTAAAATTAAGGCACTTTATGGCTTCTCTTTGACATATCTGATGTACCAGCAGCATCACTTCTACTGTACTTTGGGACAATTATTAATTAAAACTTATGAATTAAGTTGACCACATAAAACATGGAAAGCAAACATCACTACTAAAGGGACATTATTCTGTAAGATAACATCTCTAAAAATTTCTGAGAATATTATTGAATTGTCAGCATTAGTAAAGTTTTCAGGAGACATTTTTCACTTTTTTTATTTATTTAATTTACTGCTTTACAAAAACTACAAAGTAAAAAAAAATTAGGTAGAAAGATTGGGAAATTTTTGTTTGATGTCATTTCTTGGAACATACAGATTGCAATATATTTTGCATTGTATTTAATTAATTTAAAAGTTCTTAATATTTAGAATTTTATTAGTTCCTTACAAAGTGAGTTAAAGCTTATCAATTAATTTTTGGTTATTTATTTTTTTCTTCTGTTTATTGTTGATTTTTATCACATTTTGTGTGGAATATATGATGAATGATGTAAGTAATGTGAAATTGGAAATATTTTAATGATATCTGATCTCATATCTTAGATGTTCATCATATATAGACAAAAGAATTAATTTTCATATTTAAACTAATAATTGTGAAAAAGTTTAAGAATTTTAAGAATTATACAGTAATATTGATAACTAGTAAATTATTTTATAAAAATTAAAATTTCATCAATAGATATATCCAAAATCTAACGTATTACACTTCAAAAATTTTAATGAGATTCATTTTCTGTATAAAAAGTGATAGTTTGATAAGTTTTAATCATTTTGTAAGGAAGTAAAATCCTAAATATTAATTACCTTTAGATAAAATCTGTTTTAATTTAATAAAGCCAAATTAAATATTACAAAAATAAAACTATTATTTTTCATAAAATTAAATAAATTATCAAATTTAATTTAACTATTTTTCTTGTTCATTTTTAACAAAATATTTATGTTTGCTAGTCAAGCAATAGGATACCATTGTTGGTATAAAGACATGAAGGAACACGTATGTAAAATAAGCAATAGCATTTCTCACCTTTAATGGACCTTGTATTTGATCATCTGTTACCATAACAGATGTCTGGGTTTCTTTTATAAATACCTACAATATATAAAATGGAAATGTTAGAGTATACATGAAAGATTTACTACAAAGTGCATCCTATTTTAAACAGTTTTACAACAGTGAAATTCTATTTTTTCTGAATAGTACATTTTAAAGCATGACAACATATCTCAATAATTAGAAGCATTTCACCAAAAAGATTTTAAAGCTCATATTTAAATAAAATTTAAGAACAATTATGAAACAAAAGAATTCTAATTCTCTCACATTCATGATACTAAATATTGCAGTAAATAACTATTGAACCAAGTAAATTCTTAGTTATTCATTAGGTGAAAACCAGTTCCTTCCTTTAAAAATGTTCACAGGAAATGTCAATCTTTTAAAATAATTTGTTGTAATTACATTGTTTTTAGTGACTTGTAAGTCATATACTTATTATGGTTTGTATATTTATATTCCACAGTACATTTTGTATTGTGTTGACCAAGTTTATGTAATTGAAGTTGTATGTTATAACTGGTTGAATTGTATAATTGTTCATTTTGGTTAATGCAATCCAAAACTGGAAACTAATAATTTTTTCTTGCTTCAGTATTAATATCTCATATCTTAAACTGATCTAATCTGTTGTAGCTTTCCTGGCCTTTATAAATCCCATTCCATCTCACACAAAAAGATGAATATATATTCAGTATTTGCTTGACAACACAACAAATCAAGATGTTAAGTCCAGCCCATTAAAAAAAGAAAAGAAAAATTAAGCTAATAATTCTCCTTTTCAGTGTATTTAGATTTTTATCAACTCTTTAAATAACATACATTTAATACTGGAAAATAAAAATATATTCTAGTATAAACCAATTATGGTTTATAAATAGAACAAAATCATTAATTCTTTATTAATATTATTTCACAATATTTGACAAAAGATGTAATATTTAAAATTCAGTTTCCTTCTAATAACAAACAATTGATGGGGGAATTAGGTCAGCCAAAAAGTGCATTGTTTTTACAGTTTCAAGATATTAGAAACATTTAATTTTAACTAAATTTATTCAAAAAAGATCACTTGAGATCATATTGTAAGTTATTATAGCATTTTTAAAAAGTAGCATTTCAAGTTAAGAAAAACATTTTAATGTCTTGCAAGAAATGTACAAATATGTAAAAAGAAAAAGAAAGTGTGAAAAGTAACATACAGAAGATGATATCCAAGAATGACCAAATTGAGATCAAACTATTACTTGAAAATAAGGTTATATGATGTGTGAGATGACCAATGTACTGAAGATGATATCCAAGTACAGAAAATCATTTGCACTCACTTGATTATGTTTGTTGCTTTGAAACTTCTACATAAACAAAAGAAATCCTAATGACATAATATTCTATCAGAATAAAATTAGACTGCATGTTTCTTTGGCAAATCAATCAAAAATTGTTACAGCTTGGCTGGGAAATTTTCATTCATTCACCACATTCAGAAGGTATTGCACTTTTCAAATATAATATAGTAAAGAGAAAATTCCCTTAATGAGAAAAATTCAGTTCGCTGGAAGATTATAAAAAGGCATTTACAACAATTCTTTGCTGGGAAAGATAAAAAGTTCTTAAAGGATAGAATTAGAAAGTTGCCTGAAAACAGCAGAAATTAATGGAACAAAAGCAGTAAAAAAATTTGTCTTAATTTTGATCATTTATTTTTCATTATGATCTGTGAATATTTGATATAGGATTTTTTTTTCCTTAATGAAAGCAAGTAGTATTTTTTTTTTAAATTTGAGAAAAGTTTTGCTTTTTTTGAATATACTGTTCTTTGGTAGAAAAGAAGTTTAAAAAATGTAGATTTCAAGAGAAAATTCAAGCATCTCATTCTTCCCATGAAGAAAAATCAACAGATCTATGAATGATTTTGCTTGTAGTAGTAGTAGTAGCATATAATCTGCCATTCAACGACTTATTTAGGGCCCACAATTTTTTGTATCAAATTATCCTTGATACTGTTTCCACTTTTGGTAAATTCCGTTTTTTTTCTGTTTTTACTTTTAGGAAATTATTTTTTTCATTTTATAGTATTTTATGAGAAAATTGCAATACAATATGCTATAATTATTATTAAAACTGAAAACAAAAACATAATTCAAGGTTTTATTGCATATAAAGAAATAGCAAATATCTACTAATCTTTCTTTAAATGTTAAAATCCAAGGCCCAAAATAAATGATAGGTAAAAATAAAAAAATACGACATGACCATTCAATAAAACAATAGAATGCTACAGTACATAATTATCTTTGAGGTAGAACTTTTATTCAGAGCTTCCTTCTTTAAGAATACATTCAAATTGTTTAACTAAAAGTATTTAGATGGATTTATAATTATTGATTCAATAATATAAAAATCACATTTAAAGTATCAACCGCAAATAACTTGAATCTCAATAATAAATATTTGAATAAAGTCAAACATTTTGATTAAAATTTTACAAAACAGTAATTAATTGAATCTTTGTAACAAATTATCAAAAAACAAATTAGACATATTAATTCAAAATTTAAATAAAACAACTTAAAATAGCTAATTTCTTAATTTGGGAACTATTTAATCTTCAAATCTCTTTTCTAAATCTCCATTGTAATACACTGAGTTGCTTGGTGTTCTCAGGCATAAGACTTTCACGTTGTTTATTGAATAAATGTTTATACTGTGAAAATGAACATTTAGCATCTATGCTAGTAACAGGCATCCATATAACCTTAGAGGAAATCTGTTCTTATTTACATTCCAAAATGATGGGATATTAAAAGGATTTGGTAAATCATCTTGGTAATTCACATACAATTGGAATTCTTCAAGAAGATCAGTAGAAGGCAAGTCCTTGATGGCTGCAAAACTGTCTACATCACCTGTTTGATCCCATACAGGGTAGCTGTCTAGGATCAAACAGGCAAGCTATCTTGTAACAGTTATTCACAGGGTGGGTATGCAGGTATTTATTCAGTTCCGAAAAAGATGTGCTGAAAAAAATCTTGGAAATTTGAGATAACTCTTCCTTTGTGTTTTCTAGTTCAGACAGTTTCTACTGAAAAATGTTGAGCTCAATGTACCATTATGCAAATACTATTTTACATCCTCCTTCATATTATACACAACACATGTATGAGGAGACTTAGTTTCTTCCAAGTTTGTCAAAGCTGTCTATATTTCAAAGCTGTTATTAAAAGAGTGCAGTTCTCATTTATAAAATGCAGAACTAGGCGCAAATTACGGTAAGAGGCATGATGTAGTCGACCATCATCTAATTCTAGAATCCTACCTACTGCAAGGCCATGGCTCTTTTCTTGCTTAAAGAAGCCTTCATAAAACTGTACAAAGGATGAGTGATATTTGACCTCATTACCATACAAGAGGTACTTTCACTTGTTCTTTAGGCAAGGAACCTTCAAGCCATTTTAAGTATCACTTTTTCCAATTAGGCTTTTTATAAAAGACTGACTTGATGGAAAGTAGTGAGCTGGGTAACATTATCAAATGCTGACCAGTGTGAAAATACTTCGCTAACAAGATATGAAATATGTGCTAAGTACAACACATGGCAACTGTTAAAGATATTTGACAACATTTCCTTATGAGCTTTTTTGCAATAGGCTGAAGAATCTGTTACAAAGGCAATAATATCCTCAAATGCAATATCCACATGAGTTACAGTTCTGATTCATGCCTGACTTACAGTTTGATGATTGCATTCTCTTAAGGTTACAACATCAATGAGAAATAACTCCCTACGAATGCTTAAAATTACATTCAAAATCCTGTATTCATGATAGTTATTTCATCTGTTATGATGCTGACTGATTGATTAGCAAGCTTGGCTTTCAAGGCAGCAAAGTGACAAGCAAACGATTTTGAAATTGACACTTGAAATATTACCACTTTCTTTACAATGTTTTAATATGAATGGCCTCATTTTGCCAATTTTGTGTAGAATGTCAAAGTGCACATTTAAAAAAAACAAAAAAAACATCAAGGACAAAATCCTATTGTACCTCTTTACTCTTCAACAAAGTTGTGATTATCTTGTTTCAATTGAGCCAACTTTTTTAAAGATTTTTTTTGTCAAATAAATTTTTGATTTGATGTGATCTTTGTGTCAACCCTAAAAATTTCAACACTATGGAGACAGAATTTGCAAAATTATTTTCATCTGCAGAAAAAAATTATCAAGAAATTGCTCTACTTTGGCTTTAGCACAAATTTTAGATTCTGGGGTCTTTTTTTTTTTTTTTTTTTTTTTTTTGAGAGGAGCAGGCCCAACTTTTGAGGTTGATTCACTATATTTGACTTGATTCAGTCATCTTGGCAATTTGTTGTTTATTCATTACAAAATATAAATAAATAAAATATTAAAAAATAATCATTGAAAGTTATTTTTTTTTGTTCACTTTAAATTTGCTTACAATGGTGAAACACTGAAGATGATGCAATTGTTACTCTGAGAGAATCGTTGTGACAGTAAACTTAGACAAACCAGTTTTTTCATAGTATGGTGTTTTTGGAGAATTGTTTTTTCTTTATTTCTAAATTATATGATACGCACTTGATGGTATTTACTTTTTCATATTCATAAAACAAGGTTACAAGTTGTTTAGAATCTTTTACTTGTAAATTGTGTCAGGCCTAAAGGAAATGAATTTCTTAAACTTATTGATTTGATCTTTGTCTTTCACCCCTCCAATTTTGACATCAACTAGTGTCTATCTTCTATTTCCACTTTAACATTGAATTTCACTGACCACAACCGACACGTGACCTTCTGACTTTCATCATGTTTGCAAAATACAGTTTCTTAGAAAAGTTATAAAATATTAAAAATAGACTAGCCAACATATTCTCAAAAAAAATCACTTTTCTTTTTTATGTAAACATTTTTGTTCTTAATTATTTTTTGGGTTTTATAAAGAAAATACCTACAAAGATTTGTAAAAACAAATTTTAAGGAAATAACATTATATTATTGTTAAAATGTTTAACAAAATTAGAGAGACAGTTATTAAGTTCTGAAAGAATTAAAAAAAAAAAAAACAAATTTTAAAACAAAAATCCAATAATTTGTTATTTATTATTGAAAATTACATTAAAAAACCAGATTCTGTTTAAGATTAACAATTCCATGATTGTGGAAAATTTATTCCCCTGCTTATTAAAACATTAAATCTAAATTAAAAGGGAAATAGGAAGATTTTAAGTATTTATCTTAACTGTAAATAATTCAAATGTAAAAAAACTAAATGTATGAAAAGTACTAATGCTAGTTAGTTCATATTGAAAATATAAATAAATAAAATTGCTTTCCTAAAAGTTATGTTTCACCTATAATCATGGACAAAACAATTACCGCAACACACATCTTACATAAAAACTTTTAGTTTACCATGCAAATTATTTTGATATTAAATTTTGGTACTATTCTTTATTCGCGGTATATTTATAATAATGCCAAACTACAAGTGTAATGGCTTTCTAAAGTTAAACACTTTCCATAAAAGTAAAAATAGTTACAATTTTAAAGTTGACCATCTTTTGTTTTCTTTTTAAACAATTATAGAACTGAAGCAAACATTAAATGTTTCAGGTAATATCTTAAAAAATAAAACACACATTGTATCATAACTTCAGTTATCAAAATCTGAAAGTGTTGCTAAATTAAAAAATTTCAGGGAATCAGAAATATAAGTATTTTTTAAAATTAGCAAATGTTTCTTTCAAAACAAAAAATTTGGTTCATTTATGAATGAAGAGTAAAAGGCATTTGACAGAATTTGCAAAATAACATTTTCTTTTGCATAAAATCTATCAGGAAATTGCTCTATTCTGGGCTTAGCACAAATTTTTCATCATTCTTTTTTTTTCTTTTTAGGTTGATTCACTATATTGACTTTATTCAGTCATCTTGGCAACTTGTTGCTTATTCATAGAACTGGTTTAGATAAAAAATATAAAAAATAATCATTGATAGTTAATATTATTAAAGGGAATTTTTTTTTTTATTCAATTTAAATTTGTTTACAATAGTGAAGGACTGAAGATGATGCAATTATTAATCTGGGAGAATCACTGTGTGATGGTAAGTTTAGACAAACCAGTTATTTCATAGTATGGTGTTTTTAGAGAATTTTTTTTCTCTTTATTTCTAAATTGTATGGTAGGCACATGATAGCATTTACTTTTCTTTCATATTCATAAAACAAGGTTACAAGTTGTTTAGAATCTTTTACTTGTAAATTGTAAGGCCTTAAAGGAAATGAATTTGTTAAACTTGTTGGTTTGATATTCCTCCCCTTCAATTTTGACAGCAACTAATGTCTGTCTTCCATTTCCACTTTAGCAATGGATCTCCATGGCCATGACCGAGATGTGACCTGACTTTCATCTTGTTTGCTACATCCAATTTCTTAGAAAAGTTTTAAAATATTTAAAAATAGACTAGCCAACATATTCTCAAAAAAAAAAAAAAAAAAAAAAAAAAAAAAATCGATAACCCACATTTTTTTCTTTTTATGTAAACATTTTTCCTTTTAATTATTTTTGGGATTTTATAAGAAAAATAATTACATATATTCGTAAAAAGAAATTTTAAGGAAATAACTACATTATGTTATTGTTGTATTTATTAAAATGCTTAACAAAATCAGAGAGACAGTTATTATTATTTAAAAAATCCAAAAAACATCAAACAATATTGAAAAGTGCATTAAAAATCCAGATTCTGCTTAAGATTAATGATTCTGTGATTCTGTAATCACAAAAATTGTTCCCCTAGGCATTTTTAAGAAAAGATTTATGGGAATTAAACAAATATTTTAACTTGTTTTCTTTTATGAAAAAAAATCAGAGTATATATCAAAATGGGAAAAAGCTGCAGTAATATATATTAATTATCAAGCTGTAATAATAATAATAATAATAAAAATGCATACACAGAAAATTATACTTTTCCTGTAAGAGTCCATAGGGCTGCTCTCCAAATTGTACATTTTGTTAAGCCAACAAAATCTACACTGGTTTGACTTGAAAATTTATCAGCAAGTCAGTTTCTTTCCATTTTCTAACCCTACAGTGATGATATCTCTTTAGATTTTTTATCCCAGACAACGGTAATAGTTTGTCACCCCAGAGTTACTTCCCCTTAAGTTTAATCTAACTTTCAGCAAACTGCTGCTTTTTCATTTTTTTCCACATTCGCTTGGAGGATGTTTATAAATGAAAGCGTTTGTCACCCACTTCACTGGTGAGGGAGCAAATTTTCTGATTGAGAGAAAAAAAAAAAAAAAAAAAAAATCACCCTGTATTTGTAATGTCTACAAATGGCTACTCTTCATGCATAGAGTGAGTAGTCTTATTATCACCACATACTCTCATCAAGGCTCATCCTCCTCTTCTCCATTCTAGGTCTAATACATGATGACAAAGGTGCTCCTTTCAAGAGTAACAATTGTATATTTTATCTTGTTTAGATTCTTGGAATTACTACTGAAGACATATCAAATTTGAAGAAAGGATAAGTTTAGATACAAACTATATCATGTTAATTTTCTATACACACAAGTACTGGACCCATTCCCTGCATGAGAACATCTTTGAATCTTCTTGATTAACAATTTACTATTCTTCATATAACCTACTGAATTTTTCTATAAAATATACTTGCATAAAATTCATAATGATTTAATAATCATTATTCTGTCAGTGTGAGATGCTGATAAAGTTTTTTGTTCCAATATTTAAAGTAATAGTATTTCAAAATACTTTTGTAATAGATTCTTAGGTTTACAAAAGAAACTTGAAAAATATTTATGAAAGGTAAAAGAATCTTTAGAAGATTTTGCAATAACCTCAGAATAGTTTTAATAACCAAAATTGATTGAGGCAAAAACTTTTATCAAAGTTAGTTGCAAAATTTCAGTTTCTTGTTTTGAAAGATCATCAATGTTAAATAATTGATTTTCCCAGCCATCACTTCATTTCACAATTGAACAAAATTACTTTCCTCAAAGAAAATCAACAATCATATTTTGGTATATGCTACTTCACAAATAACAGTTTTAGTTTTCAGTCTCATTTTAAAGATATAAACTAGTGGCTACTGAAAATTTTAAATGAAATGGTAAACAAAATAAACTATATAAGCAAAAATTACAACTTTACCAGTATTATATATATATATATATATATATATATATATAAAATGATTGTTCACATATAGATTACACTTTTGTTTACATAAAAAACAAAAAATGTTTAGTTATAACTAATTTGAGTGAAAGTCATTAACATTTTAATTATTTTTTATTCCTTTAATGATATTATCTCAATTCTTGAGTATGACCAACAATTTAGCAAAGTGCATTTTATTAGCTAATTATATTTGAGATCATTTTTTTTTAATTCAAGTAAATCATTTGATATTAAAAAGTGTTAATTTGAAATTTCTGCAAATACATACGAGAGTAAAAAGTGAATTCTTAAACTGTTTAAGGTTAAAATATAAAAATGAAATTGCAAAATCTCCAAACGTAATACAATATCCCCAATTAAAGAAGTAGTGTCTGTATTTGAAAAAATTCTCCCACTCCTAAAATAAATACCAATTTGGTAAATGAGGACTTTCATGAACATTTTCAGAGAAGATGAATGATGACAACTGATAACAATGTTCCTATCCTTTCATAGTATGAGTACCCAAAAAGAAACAAAATTAAAAATGACCAGTGAACTAGCCAAAAAAGATATACTGACAAGCTGCAATGTCCATATGGATAGGATAAAATTATTATATAAACAAGAAAATAAAAATTCCATACATGCTAAATTCATATCTTCTGATAAAAAATATAAATAAAAGTAAAGACCTATTAAATTTAGAGGATATAATTACTGATAAATTTTTTTACATATTGCATCATCAGTTTGTGATGTCTTGTCATTATTTGATTGTGAATAGCTTATGAAAACTGAAAACATTCAGAAAATATTTGACAATTTATGCCCAGAAACCAAGGAAATACTCCAAAATTAAAAAATTACTGCCCAAAATAATAAATATTTCAAATATCATTCTGTTGGATTCTCACCCAAAATTCACACACACACAGTTTCTTTGTGGGTAAGCTAGAATATTCAAGTTAACATACATGCTTTTGTTTTAAATACATGAAAAATAATTTAACAAAAAGCATTAATTTTAAAGTTTCAAGCCAGGGTAACATTTTGAATTCAATTCTAAAAAAAGAATTTTTTAAGTGCTTACAAGAATTATTATGCACAATTAAGTAGCATTTTAATAATTTCAAAATAGAGAAAGTTTTCAATCTCAATGATGACTTGAATTTTTGAAGATTTTTAAAAATGTAAGTTTATTAGTGTTCAAATTCTATTTCTATTTTCTAGAGTTAAGTTTTTTAACAATGGAAAGAAATGTTTTAAATGTTTCCCTTTTTATATATTTGGTCCAAAATACTTTTTTACATTAGAATATTTGCAAATTCCTTCAAATCACATAATGAATAAGAAAACTGAATTCATCTTATGCTATTTCAATAACTTATTGGTCAAATGTATCAATCTTGCTTAAGTCCATAAGAATACACTATAAGAATATAAAGCAAATCTTTCAGAAAATTTAAACTAAGTTTTCATTTAAAAATATACCAGTTTAATGTAAAATTGTCATTATAAGATAGATAAAATGAGATTTTCTGTAATCAAAACACTTTAAAAACATTACCTTTTGCCAAATATTAAATGTCCCAGTTAATATCAGTCTTTAAATGTTGAACACATTGTTTTAAAAGCTTACTTTGTCATTTAAGTATTTTGTGGGTTGTATATCAGATAAATATTAGAACTTATGGCTAAAGATTTGGGATTAAATTGTTGATATGAAAAGTCATTATAAAAATCACATATACATAAAAAAAAGTAATAAATTTGAAATTTACCTTGCATTTTACTGATCGTACAATTTTTTTAACTTTTGCTTCACAAAAAGCTCCACGGTATTTGGCACTGACATCTGTCCCAACACTGAGGAATGGGGGTTCGTCTCCAGCCTGCAAGATGATAAATTACTAAAAGATTAGAAAATTTCATTATATACATTATCCATAAAAAAATTCTTACCTGTTCAATGTAAAAAATTTAACAAAATTATCAAATTTCTGTACCCAGATAATACAAGTATTTTTGGAAATGCTTATAAAATTATCAAATTATTTTAATTAGGTAAGAGAAAAGTATATCAGATCCATGAAATTCTATGCAACACTTTAAAATAACATTTGTTAACGTTTCTAATTTCTAAGTAATAACCATAAAATTTTAAAAAATTTACAAAATACCAAAGCAAACACCTTGCATTTTTCATAAGAATATTATTATGGTTTCACTCATATTTTTGTTAGATACCTTTTCTGAACAAGAGAGAGGAGAAAAATAAAAAGATGGCCTGAATATTTGTATAGAAAAACAAACATTTAGGAACAACATCTGATTTATCCATTGCCAGGAGCAGTAATGAAATATCAGAGGCTTACATTAGCCAGGAACAATATACTGGAGGGAACCTTGAAACCATGTTAAAAAAAAAATTTAACCTAATATGCATTTTTTAGTAATATAACATTTAGAGTAATTGATGGAATGTCATTATGTAATGAACTGAATATATCGGTGTTAAATACTGGAATAACCTTATTGAGTGAAGCTTTTTGTGTGTATGATCAAAACAAGTTTAAGAATAATTATACTGGACATACACCTACATGCTTATCAAGAAGACTCATATTATATCTCTCAGAGCTCAGCTCAATTACAATCCAATTAAACACATGGAATCTACCAAACTACCCACAACATATGACCATAATAGCCTCATGTACATGTTAAAAAAAAAAAAAAAATATCAACTATGAACATGGCCACATACAGATCATGTTTAGAAAATAAAAACCTTCCCATCACTATAGATACAAATGTATATTAGCACAATGGGGATTAAGATTTTATATATATATATATATATATATATATATATATATATATATATAAAATTATTTAATTAAAAATATGATTCCAAAATGCAACATAAGAAGTCTCATGTTTCAAAACAAGAGCCAAAAACTTCAATATAATTGTTTTGAAATCATATTTTTAAATAAATAATTATATTTATGCTCTACTTTTGTATCGAGAACTATTTTTTAAAAATAATAACTAAAATACTAAGGGACTTTGGATTATTTACCTAACCAGTTCCTTCCTATTTTCTATATATTTTCATTTTTATATATATATATATATATATATATATATATATATATATATATATATATATATATATATACATATTCACTATGTTGAAATTAAAGACTGAAAGGCATAAGATGAGTAAATGTTTGTTTGTTAGGTAAGAAACTGCTATAACACTTCATCAAACTGAATAGCAACTTCAATCCTCTAGAGTTCTCCATTCTTAGCTTGGTATTTTTTAGTACAAGGTCCTAACATATTCTCAAAAAATAACATCTGCAATTACCTAGGAAATTGTACAGTTATTTAAAAAAAATGTAAAATATTGAAATTTATCAGTGATACACAACTGTAGCACTCCATGTCGATATTTGCTATATTTGTCTCATTCTGTTTTTAGGCAAAGTCTGATATTTCAGATTGTAAATTCTTTAAATTTAACTTAAAATTTTTGATTACAAAAGCAGAAACAATAGAAAATTCTAAGCTGTAAAAATATTAATGTCATCCATTCAATGGTAAATATGAAGTAGTTTTGGTAAGTACTTAATAAATTAATGCTTAAAAAGAAAAAAGCTAAAATATTTTACTTATATCCATTTTTGTTTTTTAAAAAGTAAATGGTGCATTGCAAAGTAGGTAACAATATTTAAATTAATACCTGCCTGAAACATTATGTGCATAAAACTATCACAATATAACCCTTGGTTATATATGGACACACCTTTAATCCCCTCAAGTAATTGATAAAATAAAATATGTTGGTAACTTTATTAAGCTAGAATTACATCTCATAATTTTCTTAACATTTTAATAAGACAAGCTAATAAAGTCAAGGGATACTATTCACAAACTCATATCCACAAAGAATTAAGAACTAAATATTCCTAGTAAAAATAAATAATAAATAGAATCCCTTTTTTACCAGATTCAATGACCTTTCCTTTTTTCTATCTAACCATTTTATATAGACTGCTTGCCATTAATACATACTTGGAGTATATTAATTAAATTATCTTAAATATCCATATAATTAACATTAGGCATTTTACAACAAAAGAAAAATATGTTAAAAGTAAAAACTAATTGTTATAGAATCAAATTTCTCAAAACCATTTGCAAATATGAATGATTGCTCCCAAAGTAATGCCTTCTACATTATGTTGGCACTATAGCAGTAGAATTTGAACTTTCCCCACTAACAATCCATGATTCTTTTTGCCTTGTTACAGATAAGAGTCTGGCAAAATAGCATTATACATGAAATTGCATGCTATCATTTTGGGTGGGTCCGGGTGGTAGCAAGTTGACATACATCCAACAATTATTGTTTACAGAGATCAAGTAGTGAATACAAGCATAGTTAAGCAGTGGGTAATGCACTCCAGCTTTAGCAATAGTTATGCATATGACAAGCCATATTTTGAACAGCACCATACAGCTATAAATCCATGAAGAGCACCTTGAAATAAATTCATACCCAGTAATGTGTATTATAGAAGGTTTTGCAACTGAAAACTTGCCCTATGCAATGGTATTATTGTGCTCTCTATATCTGTTGTTTTCATGGAAATAAATAGGAGATTATTTTGGAGGGTCCCTTGTAATTTCAACCAATAATTATTCCTTTATTTTCCAGTAGATTTTACTTATATTACATTAGTATTGAGCAAAAGGTTCATTTAGTTAAAAAAATAAAATACATAAAAGGAAAGACATCTATTTTTTTGACAAACTAATTTATAGTTTTGTTTCAGTATCTTATGCCATTGTTTAGACAACTTCATATTTCATTCTCTGAGGGCTTCTCTTTCCCAGAGAAAAACCACTGTGTACCATTTGCAGTCTACTACTGAATTAATATTTTTACTCTAATCAGTAGATTCTCTACAGACAGCAATAGAGGCTAATCCCAAAGGTGGTGCATTCTCATTCACTCATTACTATATTATAATTAAACAGTGAATCACACTTTTGTTACACTTAACTTGTGGAAGCTGCACATCAAAGTGATTAACATAAGCAAGCTGGTACAAAATGTTTTCAGCATTTGATTTATATATTTTGAATATGCTGGCTATTGTCTTTATTGTGTAATGGTGACTACTTTCAAGTAATATCTGGGTGTATGTTTTTTTTATGTAACTCAATTGGTCTGTTTTCATAGTGAAACATAGTTCAACAAACAAATATCCAATACAAAATTTTGCAAACTACTTTCTCTATAAATTGAATTTTTTTTTTGCATGAGTCATTGTTCATCAATAAATGAAGATATTAAGAAAGTATAAGCTAAAATATTTATTATTTTACACCTTGAATGTTAGAATCAGTAAACAAAAACAGGCCAGTTTTAATTACTAACATTTTTTCATGCTAATATAATTGTCAAAATAAAATTAAAAATGATATTTTTGAATGAAGGTAGACAAAACTAGTAGATAAAATGTAATAGTAAAATAAGAAAGCTCAAAATTCTTGTCATGTTTGTCATTAAATTTGAAGAATTTCATTTTTAAAAGATTCTAATTATAAAAACTAGTTTGATGCCTGTTTGCAAAATAATCACATTTCACATCTAATAAAGTATTTGTCTATTTAAAATACTATATTTATTCAAAAATATATTCACTTTGAATAAAGACTGAGTCATAAAGAGGACTTAATTTTGGCTGATATTATTTTTCTGATATCCTAAAGGATATTAGCCAACATGACAGAAATGAAAAATATATATCCATTTAAAGTTCATTTAAAATGTGTATATTCATTTGTGTGTGTGCATGTATATTTTAATTTAATGACAGACAAAAAAAGTATTTCTGCAAAATTAAAAACAATTCTATTATGGAATAATTTCCCAAAAGTACACTAAAGTTGTATAACTATCTGATTTTTGAGAGATTAAAATATTAATAAGTTTTCTTTTTTCTCCAACTTTCAGTAAGACTTGTCCAGGCTGAGTGAAAGGTGGAATGTATTATCTCAATGTTTTATTTCACAATTTTATATATATATATATATCTTATTATAAAACGCAGATTGTGTGTGTGTCTGTAATGTTTATATATTGGATCGGATTTCCTACATTTTTCAATCGATTTCAACAAAACTTCACAGGACTACATAAAATTACCTTGTGGTGGTTCTAACAGCGCCAAAAATGGGAAAAATACAATTGTTTTTGCACAAAATCAATTTGAAAACACGATTAAGAGACATCGTGAAAATGGAAAGGGGACAACTCACATCGGGTTGTTTGTGTGTGTGGGTTCCTTTAAATATGGGATCAGATTTCCTATATTTTTCAGCCAATAAAACAAAAATTCACTTTTTTTTTTTTGGCAGGTAGTGTTTCTTATTCTCTTGCACACTTTTTTCTTTATTTTTAATATTCAGAATGCTTTAAAAATTCCATTTACAAGACAATTATTTATAATAAAATTCTATTCAGTCGGGAGACTCATAACGATTGAAAACAATGTTTTTGTTTGAGTTTGACCAATTCATAAAAAAAAACAAAAAACAAACTAATTAAGACATGCGTGTCCGTCAATCTTAAACAATAATCTAACGATCTTTACTGATTGTACGAATACAAACATCGGAATAAATTCTTTATCTTTAGGGAAAGATAATGAAATCTAAACATACACAAGTCCTAACTAAAAGTAATAACCGAACGGAAACTACTTTAAATACACATGGTATCCAATTTTTTTTACTGTATTCAATAAGTAAAAATCATAAATTATAAAAAGATTATTATTACAGAAAGGCTACTAAATGAATAAGATTTGTT